TGGTCCGTGACTTCATCTGAGGTGGGAACCCAGGATCTTCTGCGTGTAAAGCAGACGTGCTAACCACTACACTATGGAGCCCTCCCATACCAAATTTTTTATGTTTAAGTAATCTATCTTTCAGCGACCATATAAATGAGAATGAATATCCTAGATCTCAGGTATAGAGAAGCCATAATTTCGCCTGAGATTAAATAAATTTCATAATTTTATATGGGAAGTTAATAAACATGTCAATTAATTCATGGACTCTGTTAATATATTCTATTTATAATGCCAATTCTCCAGTATTTCTGCTTTCTCATTCCTGTCACCTAATTGTCCATTAAGTCCTAAGATTCTGCCTTCAAACCAACTCCCTACTAATCTTTCATTGCCAGTCCCACCTCCTGGGCCACTTCACAAGTCCTGCGGCGTTATGACTAGCAGTGACTTTTTTTAGAATATGGAGATTCTTATCAACAAACAAACTCAAAACTTGAGGCTTTAGCTAAATTCAGTGAGTGGAAAAGTTTCATTACATATTCTATTGCAAACTAGAAGGGTGCGATCTGGCATAGAGTGCAAGTCATTGGTTGAGCATTCTGTGTCTCAGTCAGATGTCATGCCAACATCGCCAATGGTTTGAATCATTTAGGGAGAATATAGAATGAAAAGAAAAGAGCACCAACAGTGGGAAACTGGACCACAAAAGCATTTAATAACTGCGAGTAAGAGGAGTCCATGAATAGGAGCATAAGGGAATATTCTTAGGGTAAGAAAGAACCTAGAGAAAGACCCATGAGGACAGTTGCAAGAAGAAATGAGTGATCAGCTGGATTAGATATCATGGACAGAACAAATAAAACGAAAACTGAAAAGTTTCCTTTGGATGCGGCAGCTATGAGGTCACTGGTGAAACATTAGTGTTGGTTCAAAACCTTGGCTGTTCCCTGAGTGAAACCTGAAAGTGGCTCCCATTCATAAGAAAGACAGGGACAGACCTAAGAGAGAGGCCAACCACTCCAAAATGGGAGGTGGCAGGTTTAATAAGCAAAGAAATTTATATATGAGGGTGTCTTGGGTGCCCACGACAAGCAGATCTCCACACATGCCCACCAGGATCTTAAGGGTGTCAGTCACATACACTGTGTAGATTGTCACGACAGCACATTGCTCTCTCAAGTCTGTGTCCTAGTACTGTGGGCTAGAGATACATTCCAAGGACAGGGGAGGGGTGAGGAGCCTCTAATCACCCAGCTCCACTCTCCAGCCAACTGGTGGTCACATCCTCCAACAATTAGCAAGAGTATTGTCAAAGCTGAGGAGCAGAGAAATTTAAAGAAATGAGTAATGAGAAAGTAGGGGATATGAAAACAATGTAGACAATCTAGTCAGAGCTCATCAGAGAGGGAAAGTAGATAGGGCAGTATTTAAAAGGTGTTAGGGTCAAAGGAAGTTTATTTTGTAAACTAAAAAGAAATGTGACCCTATGTAATATGTTAGTGAATTTAGAGATAATGATCTTAGAAATCTACTTCTCAGAGTACTGTAGAAGGAAGAGATGTAATCTAGAACATAGGAGGAGGACCAAGCCAGAGAGAATAGGAAAATTTCCCAGTCTTCTGAGATAAGAAAAGAGGCTGGGAAAGAAAGTGAAAGGAAGAAAAAAGAAATATTTTATTTAAGTATGGAGCTTTGGGACAGAGGTGGACCAAATAGTGGCCTGATAACCTCAATATTCTTTTGGCACTAGGAAGGAAATGTGCTGAAAAAGAACAAATTAGGGCTCTGGTTCCACTTAAGGGAAGTAAATGAAGCTTGGTAAACCTGCTGTGATGTATAGGAGAGGGAGTTGACCATGATATATAAAGAAATATCAAGTAGCATTGAGATCCCAGCCAAGACCAAACATAAATTTAGAAAGAAACCAATCTAAATCTTTGTGATTATTTTAGTAGTGTTCAGTAACCTGGTTATAGGAGAGGATAAAACAGGTAGCTGAATTAATAAAAGACTGAGAGCTCTCATGGAGGTTATGGTAGAGAGAGGGAGGACAAGGTGTTAAGGCTGCTGGCAAAAAAAAAAAAAGTAGTCTAAATAATGCATCTTGGGTCTAAGCTAGAATACAGGTAGGATGAGGATTCCAGTATCAATGGACTGGGGTGACAGAAGGGGTCAAGTTATTGAAAGTATAAGTGAAGTTTAAAAGCAGATTTAGTGAGAATAAAGTTTGAAAGATGGAGACAGACAGAAACTTATATTCAAATATTGCCAAGTTAGGACTTAAGACTGTGGAGATCGGGAAAGTTGGAGTGAACATAAGGTCCAGGGTCAGACAGAAGGAGGAGCTTTACAAAGTGCAGTGGAGATGACGGTTCCTGGTACTGAGGCGAAGGACTCTCAGGTCTATGTTGGGAGTGTCATTCATAGGGATTCTTAAATCCACTGAAAGATATTAGGAGTTGGAAAGAAAAAAAAGTCTGGATCAAATTTAAATGAGATAATGCATTTGAAAAGACTTTCAAAATGTTAAAGAGTCATACATATGTTAGTTGTGTGGATGGAAAAGGGATTCTACGGATTCTACGGATTCTACGGAAAGTAACCTACAAGGTGATCTAATCAAAAATTCCTAGCAGGGCAGATCATGGTGGGTAGTCATGCCCCAGGCAGAGAACTTCCTTAGTGAAAGATTTGTCTTTGCCTTAAGCAAGCCCTGTCCATTGTTTCTGTGCCTCTAGGTAATACAACTTTGAAATGCATCTTTTCAGACCCCTCAGAAGAGAAA